GTCCATAAGTATAATCAAACTGAAATGATTTTGTTTCAGAGTCTTCAAGAGGATTTCTCAATGTCATAACTTGCCCACTGTTCCTAATTATGACTAGTGTCTGCTTGTCTATCTCTTCCTGTTTGTGTACATAAGTATATAGTCTATTAAGAAATAATAATGACATAATACACATTTAATTGTACAATAATAGAAGGATGAAGATATCAATGGTCTAACTTTAATAACAACTCTAGCAGTTATTTTCACTTCTTCGAATTGACAAGCTGATAATGAGTCTGATCATAATCAGGAAACCTAGCAGGGGTCCTGACTAATTCTGATGTGAACTGAAAACATAATGCATGTATTCACTGAGATTCAATGCTTAGATGATGTGCATGGTTTAAGTCATATGCATTAGTCACAATAAACATGTTATTGTTTTGAATTGTCATAGATCTAGCTTATTGTAAGGAAAAGTAAGCAAATTTTAATGAGTAACACATACATTTTATGCAGTTTACTTATGTAAAAGAAAATTAGCATGTATAGTTTACTTTGTCAAAAATAAGAGAACTGTAACAGAGCTAATTCTATTCAGTCTATTCTTAAAATGGCATTGTCAGTATCAGAAGTGATTTTAGTATTCTTGTTGAGTATCAGTGAAGTTATCAGTCAATGTCCACCTTCCTCAGGTAAGACACTGGATGTGTATAACAACTGTATAGGTTTTTATAGGTATCTACCTGAGGCATGATGGAAACTGTTATACTAATGGATCATATTTTTTTGATGCTGATATTAGAGGAGCCAGTAACAGTATCATGTGTGTGTTATTTGATACTACTCTGAATGGTGGAGAGTGGGTTAATGTTACTAGTGGATCATCAGTTAACTGCAGTACTAATCCTCTTCGTTGTAATGAGGTATCTTCACCTAATGCTAATATCAGTCTTTACATTGATGGAGGCGTTATGTCATCTGATGATGGCTGGTACAAGTGTTGTCTACCCACTAATTGTTCAGATTTTAACACCAACATCGTCTTTGCTAATATATTCAGTAAGTGTTCTCATTAAACTAGTACATGCTGTCAATTTGTTACTGATTTACTGTAGGATGGGTGCAGATTGAAACCATCACAGTTGACCTTCCTTCAGATATAACAGTTCTGCCTCAAACATATACACTACATGCCATTAAAATTGGTAGTAATGACCACAGTTCTTTTTTACATGCTGCCAATTGGTACTATGAGTCTGGTAGCAGTAGTACTCAACTCTGCACTGGATCTAGGGCCTCATACAGTTGTACATTCATGTATGGGAATGGAATGTCAGTAGATTATGGTAGTGGAAGATGGGATTATACACTAACTGTTACATGGAGTGGAGACACTATTACTAGTGGAGTACTAAGCCAATCAAACAACAACGGAGATCATGTATTTAGATTCTATTTAGATTTTGGTCATATCTATCACAGCCCAGTACAAAGAAATAGAGACATTTTTGTAACAGGTAAGTAGCAATAAAATGATTTTATTATTTTCTATAGTACCAGCAACTGCTCCCTCTTCTCTTACCGAGGTTAACAAGACAGCTACCACTATCACTGTCAGCTGGACTGCACTTGATTCATCTGATGCTGATGGATATGCAGTCAATGTCACTAGTAACACAGACCCTGGGCAAACAGTACAGGTGGAGGGAAGTAGTAATTATGCAGTCACACTGAATGGACTGAGAGGAGGGACAACTTATAGCATCACAGTCAGAGCCTATCAACAATTACTGGGACCTGGTAGTACTATCAGTGTACAGACCTTACCAGGTATTGCTACTGCACCTTTTAATGTACTATTAACATTGTTGATGTATTTCTAGTTATTAATTCAATCAATTGGACACTAGTCTCATCCATTACACAACTCAATAACACTCAATATCATATTGATTGTCTCACAACTACTGATATAAATCCTTCAACTCATGTTTACTGGTTAGTGAATGGAGTGATGAAGAGTAACTCAAACTATTCATCAATTGATGTCCTGACATACAACAACACACTACTAGTATATGCTGATCCACTGGGAGAGTCAGTTAATGTTACCTGTATAGCAATGATTGGAGGAGTCGACTACAGTCGATCTGTGATATTACATGGTATGATTATACTTTAATCAATAGTAGATACCTTTGTCTCTTTTCTAGCTCCTAGTGGTCCTCCAATTAATGTGAGAGGGTTTATATTAAATGCTAATAGTATCAAAGTGAACTGGACCACTTCATCAGAGACTAATGGATATGTGATTGAGTATACTACTGGAGGTGTAACCAGGAATGCAGTATCTACCAGTGAAGATGAAATCGTACTAACAAATCTCTCACAAATGAGTACCTATACCATCAGTGTGTACTCATATATAGATCTTCCTTCAGTTAATAGTACAGTAACAGTGTTAAAATTTGATGGTGAGTTAATATTATTAACATTGAGAGAGTGTAATTGATATCTGTTGTAGTTCCTAGTCCAGTAACTAGTCTCTCAGTATCTAATGTCTCAACCACTGGTATTACAGTGAACTGGACTATTCCTAGCAGTGACAACTATGTAACATACTACACCATCTCCTATACTCCATCTTGTCCCCAGTTATCATCAGTGAATGAGACAGTCTCTGTTGCTCCTCATCAGTCCACTACAACATACAGTTATACATTAACAGGTCTGTACAGTGGTATGAACTATACCATCACAGTGAGAGCTGGTAATGTACTAGGAGGATCTGATCTTAACTCAATTGATGAAGATACATTGTCATCAAATGGTATCTAGTAATATTTATCATCACCAGTTGCTTAACTTGTTATTTTACAGCTCCTCTTGGTGCCCCTCAAGGTTTAATGCTACTACAACCAATAAATAATCTCACTTGGAATGAGGTCAATTGTTCTCAGCATAATGGTCTAATCACAGGCTATACAGTGATTATCAGTAACAGTAGTATCACATACAACCTCACCAGTACTGAGAGATATATCATATTGAATGATCTAGTATTTGGTACTGAGTATAACATCAGTGTAGCTGCTATCAATTCTGTTGGAAGAGGTCCCTTCAGTGATCCTATTGTAGTAGAGATTGGAATAGGTATGTAATTATTATACTATATCAGTTCTGTGAGAATGTGTCTTTATTTAGTACCAAGTCCAGTTGGTTCAGTATCCAGTATCATGGACACTACATGGGCTGTTATCTCATGGAGTGTACCTAGTTATATTCCATCAGACTATCCCATTATCACATATGAGATAGGATATCATACCTCACAGTCTGGTAGCTGTTTGATGGTAGATGATAATAACATTTTATCTAAAATATTACAATTCCGTAATTCAACAAATGGGAATACATTTAGTGTCATTACTGGTCTTATTGATGAGTCTTGTTATATTTTTGGTGTACGTGCATACACTGATAATGGATATGGAGAATGGACAGTTATCGCTAATGAAACATTAAAACTACCACCATCATCATCAACTAGTGATACATCAGACAGTGTCATTGCTCTTAGTGTGTTAGTGGGTATATTGTGTGGTCTATTAACTGTCAGTGTTATTATTAATATCTACTGCTTTATAAGGTAGAGTTTACATACTGAGCATAATAAATTTTTGCTGTTGTTTTATAGAAAGAAAAGTCCATGTACTATCAATAAACAAACAAAGTTAGTGTATTCTATTCTGTTAAGTTACTTAATTATGATAATAGAGCTGATGATGATATTTCAATGCAAGTATGTGAACCATATGGAATCCACGAGACTAAACTAAGTGAAGAGAATGAAGGAGTCTATGATGAATGTCAAGCATCACCTGAAGTTGTCTATGAACATATGCCGCAATAAATGTACTATAGCAACTTAAGAGTAACTCTTAAAATATTTTCACTAGCTTTAGTGTAGCAATTTGTTTTACACAATAGTTATACAGTACATAGTTTGTGTGATAAAGAGAGCACAACTTTATGAGTACATTTGTTAGTCACTGCAGTGTCAGTAGTCTTATGGATGTGGCATGGGCTGATTTTAGAAAATTACATGTACTGATCAATCCTCCTATTTTCATTTCTTGTCCATCTAAAAAGAGAGCAATAATATATATCAATAGAGACTTCATACTTGCACCATGATTCCATTCCAGTCACATTGTTTAAAACATATATACACTGTAAGTTCACTGGGAAAACATAATGGTTAAATAAAGATATTGCAGTACAAATTTTGATCAAATTAATGATGGCAATATCAAGTTTTTGTGTACCTCTGGCTTTTCTGTTGACAAATAAGTTAATGCTTTGCTAAAGTCAGTACTGTCTTGATCATGCATATGATCTCTAATTTCTAAAATTATAACGATACTTGATGGACTATTAATATCAGGCCCACTGAGAGGGGGGGGGAGAAGGGGATAAATCCCCTGGGCCCCTCACTTCAGGGGGCCCCATAATAATGTACATTATAATTAAAGTATAATAAGTCATCATTACATAATTAAATATGTGCCTTTCTGGCTTTTAAACACATCAAAATGATCTATGATATTATCAAAATTTAGCTGTTCTGCAAGTTTGCTTTCAATTGCTAGTGTTCCTAAGTCACTCAACTGATTTTTGGTCATATTTGAGCATTGGTAGTTCTTGTGGTTTAATTTGTAATTTTTTAAAAATTATTGCAAAGGGCCCCTAATTTTAATCTTCCCCTGGGCCCCATGTCTTCTCTCAGCGGGCCTGATTAATATAATAATCTCTCAATACTTTTGATTCATAATAATCTTGTACATCAGGTTGTATTGAATCTATATCTTCAATAATAACGTTTAGAATAAAACTATACAATAATAAAATTATTAAGACATTTCCACCGCCCAACAAAACGAGCACAAGGCAAATTAAATTATTTTGTTATTATTGAAAAAAGACCCATTTTTCAGTAAGAGCAGAGCCTACTCTCTTCTGTGCCTATTCAAACAATAAATGGACCTGCAGTATTATTATTATTATTATTATTATTATTATTTAACTTTACAGTGCAACATAGAATAGACAGACCGTAGAGAAGAGGAGTGAAAGTACAGTAGAAACACTGATGGTCTAACATAGAACACTATGTCAGCCAGGGAAGGAAGAGAATGCAAGAGAAAAAGACACACACACAATTGTTCACATAGACAAACAGACATAAAAGAAGAAAGACTGAGGGGTGAGAAGAACATAAAGATAACAACACATAAATCAATATTATAAAATTGTTCTTTTAATAAACTGTCATTGATTATTGGTTAAAAACAACTATTGCATTAAGTTAAGATTTAAATTTAAATTGAGGAGCTGGGTTTGAGTGATGACACCTGTCACAAGGACGGCATACTAGGTGAAGTGACTCATAACCAAACCACACCAATGGGTGTGGTCTTGAGTAAAATCTACCCGGGCATTGCCCGGGTCTAGATCCGCCTATGGAAGTGAGCAAGGATCTTTGGAGTTGAAAGAGGCTAAAAAGTTGTCCCAAAAGTAGGCTTTCACACAAGATATAATACGGGCTGCAGTAAAATTTGGATCCAT